GGGGGGGGGCGGTCAGGGGACAAGGAGCAGGATGGGTCAGGGATTCTGAGGGGGGCAGGAAGTGGGTGGGGGTTGGATGGGGGGCAGGGCCAGGCTGTTTGGGGAGGCACAGCCTTCCCTACCCTAAAGCTCATTCAGCAGTTTGAGGCTTGCAGACAGCTAGTTAACACAAAGGGCCAAGCTGTTCTCTCTTCCTTTAGGGCTACCATCCCTTTCACTTCTCAAATGCCACATTATAGTCTACATTTAATTTCAGTGCCATAGGGAGATTCATGTCAGGGGAGGGGAGCTTCATTTAAAATTAGCCACTTTAGATTAACAGTGATAGAGCCAAGAGAGCCAAGGGGGAGGGATCACATGAGAAGAGCAATATCGTACACCACCTACCTCCTTCCCAACCCTACCAAGGGAGACCCCCCCCCTGCATTCCCAGAGGCTCCAGAGGGGTTAATTCAGTGGTTCTCAAACTTTTGTACTGGTGACCCCTTTCACATAGCAAACCTCTGAATGCGACACCCCCCCCTTATAAATTAAAAACACTTTTTAAAATGTTTAACGCTATTATAAATGCTGGAGGCAAAGCAGGGTTTGAGGTGGAGGCTGACAGCTCAAGACCCCCAGTAATAACCTTGTGACCCCCTGAGGGGTCCCGCCCCCTAGTTTGAGACCCCCTGGGTTAATTTAATTTTAGCACCCTGTGTCCATTTACATGCATGTGCTATTTTGAGCATTTCAGTTTTCACAACATAGGCTCATCCCAGATTCTGGAACAAGCTCAAATGCTCAGTTCGTGGAGTATGTACATAAGCTATACTAAAGACAAACCCACAGTAACTGTCTCCAGTTTCTGAGGAACCCCATGGAGCCAGTCTCTAGGAAACAGATAAATTCATGGAGGTTAAAAATGGAGATATCCTATCTCCTAGAACTGGAAGGGACCTTGAAAGGTCAGCAAGTCCAGCCCCCTGCCTTCACTAGCAGGACCAAGTACTGATTTTTGCCCCAGATCCCTAAGTGGCCCCCTCAAGGATTGAACTCACAACCCTGGGTTTAGCAGGCCAATGCTCAAACCACTGAGCTATCCCTCCCCCCCATTAAGTCCATTAATGGCTATTAGCCAGGATAGGTAAGGAATGGTGTCCCTAGCCTCTGTTTGTCAGAGGGTGGACATGGATGGCAGGAGAGAGATCACTTGATCATTACCTGTTGGGTTCATTCCCTCTGGGGCACCTGGCATTGGCCACTGTCGGTAGACAGGATACTGGGCTAGATGGACCTTTGGTCTGACCCAGTATGGCCAGTCTTATGTTTTTAAATTAGTTGATGATAGAGACTAGAAACAATGCCTCAGTTACTCCCTGTGCCTTCTTGACCACCCGCCTGGTTGTTGACATCAAGCAGATGGTCATGCACTTGGATCAATAGATGTTTTGTTCGTGTGATTGTGAACAAAAGAAAACAATACCACAAAAACAAGACACGTGCCAGTAGCTGCTGTCTGCTTCCCCTGGCTGGCGTCCCAGTGCTACACCTCACTGACCCCAAAAAGGGCCAGAGCTGCAAACCTCCCTCCTCCCCCTAGCACTGGTAGTGCCTGTGACGACAGTATGACACACCGCTGTCAAGCAGGGAGGGCAGCAGGACTCCCCAGCACAACTCACCAGACACAGGACTCTGTTCATGGGAATCATTCCAGGTCTGATGTTGCCTCCAGGCTTTATCGCTTCCTGCACATCCTCAGGGATAAGGAAGGACTCATTGTACCAGATTTCAAATTCTGTAAGACAAAGGGGGGAGGGGGACAATAACCAGGGCTGTGGTAACAAAGGGGGCCAGGTTTGTATTTTTCCTGGCATGCTGCACAATGACTAGACATGCACCTTCACAGCAGTCTAAATCTGTACCACAGTTAGTGACCTGAGTGGCGCAATCAGTTGAAATATGCTATTTAGAGGCTGGTCATACTCCTCCACCCTTAAATAGGAAGCAGGCACTAAACAGTCTCTGCCCCCTGCGACAG